TGCGTTGCCCCGGGAGTGGGGGGGGGGGGCTGGGCATCGAGTGGCTAGGTTGTTTTAAATTCTATTTTTCTTTCCGCCCCCCTCCACGGTGGGGGAAAGGCATTTGTGAGATTTTTCTGCCTCAGGGGCCAAATGAACTTGATTGGCCTTTGGTCTGAGTGGTGGAAAGGCACCATTTGCAGTTCCACTTCAGGCAGCAACATTTGGGCGGATGGGCTTTGAGCGTGTGTAAGAATAATCGAATGGTGGAGTTGGAGCCCTGCAATGCAGGAATCTCGCTAAAGCAGCCATGGCAGATGGGCATTCAAGCTCTCCTTAAAAACCTCCAAGAAGGAGAGTCCAGAGGTCTGAGAAACGGTTCTGGAAATAGTTTGTGGGAAATGCCCAAATACCTGTTCTGAAAAATGCCAAAATATGTACCTGGCAATACTTCTATTAGTAAAGGTAAAGGGACCCCTGACCATTAGGTCCAGTTGTGGCCGACTCTGGCGTTGCGGCTCTCATCTCGCTTTATTGGCCATGGGAGCTGGCGTACAGCTTCCAGGTCATGCGGCCAGCATGACTAAGCCGCTTCTGGCGAACCAGAGCAGCGCACGGAAACGCCGTTTACCTTCCTGCTGGAGCGGTACCTATTTATCTACTTGCACTTTGAAGTGCTTTCGAACTGCTAGGTTGGCAGGAGCAGGGACCGAGCAACGGGAGCTCACCCCGTCACGGGGATTCAAACCGCCAACCTTCTGATCAGCAAGTCCTAGGCTCTGTGGTTTAACCCACAGCGCCACCCGCGTCCCTCTAAGCTAGCCCAAATGTCACAAATTGGTATGTGAACTTGAGTTTTCCAGAACATTTGGTAATTGAGGGTGAACTTGGCTGACATATAGTGGTACCTTAGTTTGAACGAACGTAATCCGTTTCGGAAGTGTGTTCTTAAACCAAAGCGTTCTTAAACCAAGGTGTGCTTTCCCATAGCAGCGGGGAACTCAGTTTCCAAATGGAACACACTCAACATGTTCTGCTTACAAAGGCAAAGTTCACAAACCAAAACACCTACTTCCAGGTTTGCAGCATTCTTGATCCAAGTTGTTCATAAACTAAGCTGTTTTTTAAACCAAGGTACCACTTTATCTGGAATACCTAGTCGACAGTGCCATTTCCCCATAAAAATAGCTCAAAAACGGCATTTTGTTTTGCCAAGAAAAGCTCAACAACTTTTCTGTCGGGATTTTCAGTTTGAAATATGTCAACCTTATCAGATATGGGGTCTTCAGGTTCCCCCCTCCCTGACTGGTGTTTTATTTGTGGGTGTATCCTGCAATGTGCTCTCTACACTGTAAGAGTGCATTCGTGACAGATACGTCCTGCTCTGCTTCCTAGTGCTTCCACATTATTGCTGCCTGGAGGAGCTATAGCGCAACAAAAGTGGGAGAAAAATAAACCACAGCAATGATTATATGTATTGCTGGATATATTACCACATATGGCCAGTAATTGGCACTTCCTGGTTTCAACGCTTATTGTAGCTTTAAATCTTTATATGTTTATCCGTATAGTGAGGGCATCCTCATATAGCCAACTTATAATGAGGAATTGACACGAGACGTCACTCTCTGTCGATATAATTAGGACCACGTAACATATGGATAAGGGGTTGTCCCTCGCTTTGTTATTTAATGAGAATTTGGCCAACTGTCAGGCACCTGCCTAGTTTGACAAATTATCATGCCCGAGACATGAAATGTATTTGGCTCAGCCACAAGGACCGCCTACGCCTTGAACCCTCCATGAACTTTACTCTGTGCCCACAGGAGAGATAAGGTGCACACTTGCACCCACTCCCAGGCCCCATTGGAGGAGGACAGCTGCTGATCTTCACAGCACTTACAGCCTAGAAGAGTATAAGGCAACCGCATTTGGTGCAGACCAACAGGATCTCATAATAGGAGAAAATGCCAGTACAGTGGATGTTGGCAACTGAATTTTAAAAAGGCGAAATAATATCAGAATTGGAGCTGTCAGGGATGCACAAGGGAAACTGTGCTTTAATGCTCAGGAACTTGGCAAAGTCATTTTATATTATGAATTTTTATATTGTGGACATATGTTCTGTATTATTTTCTTAATACTAATACAAGTTAGTCGTGGCCTTTGGCTACAACAAGAAACTTACGAGCTAAAGAACCTTTTGCTCTGCTGTGCACAAGCCCTATGTCTTACCCTCCCACTTTGCTGCTCCCGATATAACTCAACTTCGGCCTTGGTGCAGAAACTCCTTCTCACCTTTTGCAGATTGGGAGTCAGCCCTGGTTCAAACTCTGGCCCTACTGCATGTGAGATTTGAGACTTTCTATCAGGCCAGGGTTTCTCCAGCAGACTCTGTGCTTCTGACTGACTGGAAAACAGGTGCTGGGGCCTATAAGTAGGATTTGGGGCACACGGCTGTTACAAAAAGCAAATTCAGATAGCATGACATTTTCATGGATATTGTACATCTTTGTCCAGGGTGGTACAGTGGTTAAGAGTGTTGGACAAGGACCTGGGAGACCAGGGTTCAAATCCCCACATGACCACGACACTTGGGTGATGAACCATGGGACATTCAAAGCCTCCCACAGCCTAACCAACCTCACAGGGCTGTTGTGGAGATTCAGTGAGGAGTATGCCACCTTGAATTGCTTGGGAGAAAAAAGTTGAATAAATAAATAAGCCACCTCTTCTCCCACGCCACAAGAAAATTTAATGAAACACACAATTAAAAATGCAATGTTGTGAACTCCAGAATTATTTTATTATTTTGCCAGACGTTTATTCACATAAAAAACAACAAGTGTACAGTACAAGATCAAAGCAAACAGGCATATTTTAAATCCAGCAATTAAACCTACCCTCAAATGTGACGGTCAAATTTGTTAGCTTCCATGCGCTTACAATCTGCACCCAACCACATTTTCAGGTCAAGTCTGTGGTAAGCATCACTCTGCTAATACTGCAATATGGCACTCAGGCTACATCAACACAGCAGCTTTCTTTGTGATAGTGGCTTTGGTGTGACCTGAGGCACTGTATGGCAAAAAGTTCTTCGTAGGCAACAGGCATGCAAGTAGCTAAATGACTTCATAAAGAGGTTGTCTTTGACAAATACAGCACCATTATAAAGCGTTCAAGGAAATCTGCACACAATCTGCATCTTCAATACAATCTTGGAAGGCATTCTTGCCTCCCACCCGCAAGTGGAATTTGTTTACAGCTTCCTTTTTGCTTATTAACTTAATCATACAAATGTCAGGGAAGAAGAAAAAGGAAGTGTCAGTTCCGATGGGGAGGGTGGGGGAATCCTGGCAAATATATTAATATGTGGGTGTTTCAGGGAACAACAGAAGCTAAGCTAGGGGACACCCAAATGCCCTGGCTAACACACCATCAACTACACGCCTTCTTAAACAATCCAGTAGTAAAATCAACAGCTACTAGGCCCTTGACCACCTTCGAAAACCTTCTCCTAACAACAACAGAACATAGCAAGGGGATGGTATCCACAATATACAATATACAGATAGTACCTAACACCACAGAAACTGGTGCTGATATGCCCAGGAACCTCGCCAAAATGCTGGAGAGGCTGGACCTCCACAGGCACATACTTCCACATGTGGTGGGAATACCCCCAAACCCAACTCTTCTGGACAGCAGTCATACAAAAAAGAAGCAAAGTAACTAAACAGGTACTAGAAGTCACCCCAGAACTGGCCCTACTAAACATCTTCCAAGATAGCAATGCCCACTCACATTATAAAGAGCTCATATCCCACCTACTCTCAGCAGCCAGAAACATCATAGGCAGACACTGGTCGGACCTGTCAGGAATAAACATGGAACACTGGTATCAAGTAGTATGGGAAACAGCCTTACTAGAAAAGTTAATCAATAAACTGAGACTGAAAATGACACAGGGAGAAATAGAAGAGGATGCCTTCACCACCACTGTCTCATGACAAATATAATTGATCTGTAGGCCTTTTCCTGCTTGATCACAAGCGCTTTATAAAGTTAGAAGCCAGCGATCCAGCAAGTCTGGGGACAATACCAGGCAAAAAACATGTGGCAACATCTACCAGACCACCCAACACCCCGGCAAACCAAGATGGCTTCTTGATATTTTCAGTCTGTTGTCTCAGCTGATTAATCTCCCCATTTAGTCGATTTGCTTCTTTCTGGAATCCATCCTTCAGCAAAGCCTCTTGCTCCTGTAAAAAGAGAGAGCATTCACATCAAAAGCAAAGGGGTGTGATTCGGCTTTCGGTGTGCTTAAGAATAAAAAGGTAAAGAGACCCCTGACCATTAGGTCCAGTCGTGACCGACTCTGGGGTTGCGGCGCTCATCTCGCTTTATTGGCTGAGGGAGCCGGCGTAGAGCTTCCGGGTCATGTGGCCAGTATGACTATGCTGCTTCTGGCGAATCAGAGCAGCACACGGAAGCGCAGTTTACCTTCCCGCCGGAGCGATACCTATTTATCTACTTGCACTTTTGGGTGTGCTTCCGAACTGCTAGGTTGGCAGGAGCTGGGACCGAGCAACGGGAGCTCACCTTGTCGTGGGGATTCGAACCGTCGATCTTCTGATTGGCAAGCCCAAGAGGCTCAGTGGTTTAGACCACAGCGCCACCCGCATTATATTAAAAGAAGACTGACAAGAGTCCTCTCATGCCAACTGGGAGCTGATGGTATGTGCTCTTCCTGGCCTGGGCTCCTTCACTTCTGCCTGAAACTTAACATGGTTTTCTCAGAGTCTCTTTGTCCAAAATGGAGACCATTGCATATTGTCCCCAGGCAGCGACAGACATTGAAATGCAGGCCAAGTTGACCTCAACTCATTTACTTATGTAGCCTAGAGAATGCTAGCAGCAAGCGGCACATTTTCCAAGTGAAATTGAATATATGTGCATCTCCCAATAGACAGGTGGTTGAAAATGGCAAGGGGGCCTGACTCTGAACTCAAGGAAAGATGTGGTTGGACAAATAATAAAACTCACGTCCAGCACAAGCAGTTCCAGTTCGACTGAAATCTGCTGTTGATTGTATGTGGGCCTTGGTATGCCTTTCCCATTGCAACAGGGTACAGAACAGGGCAAGTTCCCCCTCGTTGTTAACACACCATCTTTCCGCTGGTTTTGTTTTCGCTTTGTTCTGGCAGCTTCAGCTGAAGCAGAAAAAGGAAGAATTATGCGAGAGAAACAAACAGGTGTCCTTTGACCGCTGCAACCATGTGCTGGTGGAGCTTTACCGGAAGCTGAAAGCTGGAGTCCACATAGGAATTTATTCTGCTCCCGGTGGCTACCAGCGTTATCTGGAGAACTGGAACAAAATGGTAGAGGAATACCGTTCGGTACCTTGTAAAGGAATTCAGGTAGGTTCACTACTTGAGCCAACATTTCCTCAGCATCCAAAGATTCAGCATTTTGGTGCTGACGGAGGGTAGAACCAGACTGTAGACCAGAGGTGAGGAGCCTCAGGCCAAAGGGGCCAACTGTGACCATCCAGGCTTCTCCTTCTGGTCCTCTGGACTCTCCCCAGGCTACAGCTCCTTAGCCATGCCCTCTATGCCCAGTTCACAGCCCTCATTAGCCTTACTAGAGGGTTTCTGCCTTGCTGGAATGTGCCCCTGAACTTTCATTATGTGTCTTGCTTACCTGTATGGAGGACAGAAGGGTGTGTGTGTTTGTGCGTAAAACTAGCGTATTGAACAAACTAGCATATTACAAATGTTGCTCCTCCCACTTTTACCTGTGGCTCCACCTGCCACTAGCAAGCACCTCTCAGAAGTTTCCTAGTAGGGAAGGGGGTATCAGTCGGGGGGGGGGGAAGAAGGATTGCCACCCTTTCTGTAGATGTAAACTGCAATCCAATGCACATTTACTTAGGAGCAAGTCCCACTGAATTAAATACGATTTGATTCAGAGTAGGTATCCCAAGGATTGCACTGTAAAATCAGTTTAAGAGGCATTCTTTCTTTGCAAGCTATGTGATAGGGATTATAGATCACTAACATCTATTTCTCAGCATCTCACCCCAGCTACTATTATTCAGTTATTTGCTACATTAATACACCAAGTTTTTTGTTGTTGTTTTCTTTAATCCCTGCATGTAATCTGCTTTGACCTTCCCCCCATCTTTGCATTCAATTAATAACCTTTGCTTCCGATCCTTTATCAGGCAGACTGTGCTCTTGAAGAATTCCTGAAATCCAAGGAGACTGTGGCAAAATCTCTCCTTCAAATGGACCGCGCCTTGACTGCCCAAGAGAAGGAACTTGAAGGTGCAGAACTGGAGGAGGGGACTTTACACATCATAAATTATATGTTATTGTTCTGGCCTGCTCTGGTAGGGCTCTGAGCTCCTAGCAAAGCAGGTTATAGTTGTGGTACCTCTTAGCTTTATGATATTGTAACAGGTGTGGTGTTGTCACATTGGGCAGGATAAAACCCTAAAAGCACTGGGTGAAAGGGCAATGTCTGTGATCTTACAGGGTGCTTGTCTTGTTGTGTAGCCAGAGGCTCTTATGGCTTGGGGTAGGAGGAGTGATCAAGGGATACCCTGAGAGAGAGTATTTTAATTCTGAAGTGTCCCTGGGAAAGGCGTATATTTTGGTCTGGAAGGACCTGATACAGTGGTAATAATAATAATAACCTTGGTTTTCAAACTTAATCCATTCCAGAAGTCCGTTCCAAAACCAAGGTGCACTTTCTCATAGAAAGTAATGCAAAATGGATTAAACCGTTCCAGACTTTTAAAAACAACCCCTAAAACAGCAATTTAATATTAATTTTACTATCTAACGAGACCATTGATCCATAAAATAAAAGCAATAATCAATGTACTGTACCATAAAATAAATCAGACAGTATTGTAGATGATAAAAATTAAAAAAAAAAAATCTCTTACCTGCACTAATCATAGTCATTGTTTGGATGGGGGGCTTTTATCCATTTCCGCAGTCTGTCTGTCTGTCTATCTATCTATCTATCTATCTATCTATCTATCTATCTATCTGTAGCTGAACTGGGTTCCATACAGCCACAAAACAAATAAACCGAAAAAGCCTCAAAAACAGAAACGCAAAAACAAAAGCGCCAAGGTACCTTGGTTCTTGAACTTAATCTGTTCTGGAAGTCCGTTTGAATTCCAAAATGTTCGAAAACCAAGGCGTGGCTTCTGATTGGCGCAGGCTTCCCGGAAACAATAACTGACAGCCGCATCAGACATTCGGCTTCCAAAAAACATTTGAAAACCAGAACACTTACTTCTGGGTTTTCGGCGTTTGGGAACCAAAGTGTTTGAGAAGCAAGGCGTTTGAGAACCAAGGTACCACTGTAAAGGAAATGGAGATACTTCCTCCAGATTGCCCTCAAAGCATAGCTGTCAAGTGTCCCTTATTTGAAGGGACAGTCCCTTATTCCAGCGCCGTGTCCCGCTGCTGTCCCTTATTGATGGATGTCCCTTAAATGATGTCCCTTAAATTTCAAAGGAAGCAGCTCCTCTCCCTCCCTCCCTGCTGGCCGGCCAGGGAGGAGGGAGGCTCCAACTGTGTTGCTTGGCTGTATTGCTCACCCAATAAGAAGTCTAAGAACGACTGGGGGGTGGAGCTTGCATGCCTTGTGTGTGGCTAGTTAATGCAAGCTGAGGGGTTTTTTGAATGCTGGATGCCATTTTGTTGCACGTGCTGCTACAAACTTTGCAGTGCAAAGCCAGGCCGGGGAGTCATCTTAAGTTGAGGCTGCATAGGCCTTGTGGTGCATGTGATTCAGATTCTATTCAGTTGAACCTCTGGTTACAAAGTTGGTTGGACAGTGTTCTTGAAGCTCCCAGCATGAGTTTGACCAGACTGCAGGAGGACAGGAAGACTGGAGTGCCTGGAACAGGTGAGGCTGAAGGCCCCTTATTTTGGCTGCTGATCCCTTATTTCAAGGCTGCTGGTCCCTTATTTTCAAATCTGTAAGTTGACAGCTATGCCTCAAAGTTTTAAAGAGTATTAAATATAAGACATGTAAACTCTTGGGTACATAAGAGATGCCTAAAAGATAACAATGGAGGCAGCCTGATGAATATGTCCAGGGAATGTCTTCTCAAGTCTGGATGCCACCACAAAGCAGGCCCTGTCCCCACCTCAGCTTGGAAGTTGGAGACACTCAAAGAGTGAAGACTGTAAAAGCAGCCAAGTTCATAGGGTAGCAGGGGGTGGTCCTCCAGATTATGCTCTTTCAATGCTGTCCTGTCTGCCAGCAGTTCATGTTGTCTCTTTTCCTTTGCTGGCCCCCAGCCCAGCGCGCTCAGGCCGAAGCAGCCCAGCTGCAGCAGACGCTGTTGGAGCAAAAGCAGGCGCAGTTGCAGCAAATGATGGAGGATGAGAAGCGAAGCCACGATGCACAGCTCCAGCTGTTGAGGGAGAAGATGGAGAAAGAGAAGAAGTTGATGGAAGAGGAAACAGACAGGGTGATAGAGCAGAAACTCAAGGTAAACAGAGCTGAGCCGGATGCAGATGCTTGCTCACTGTAGTATGTAATCTTTAGGTCAGGGGTGGGGAGCTTGTGGTTGGGTCCAGCTCTCATCAGCACAAGCCAGCATGGCCAGTGCTCAGGGGCCAACAAGGTCTGGAAGGTCATATTTTGGGGCATCTTATTAAGATGGTGCTTGGAAGCGGAACCCTTCCCTCCACTTAGGGCCAAATCTAGTCATCCCTACCCTTCTCAGTGACTCCCCACCACTCATTTATATACCCTAAGATATCCTCACCCTCTCAGTGCAGGTCACATGTTGTTTAGGTAAAGCTTGGATCCCACTCATGTAGTGCTTCTTCACAAATCCCTCTATAATAATAATAATAATAATAATAAAATTTATTAATACCCCGCCCTCCCCAGCCAAGACCGGGCTCAGGGCGGCTAGCACCAGACATAAAAACAATTGATTAAAATACAACTTAAAAACAAGATTAAAATACAACATTAAAATTCAGCCTCATTTCAGTAGAAACTCAAATAAAAAACTTTTTGGGATGAAAACGTCAAATCTTCACCAAGGCCAACTATCCAGACTGGTCCTACATGGGCCAGAAAAAAGCCAGGGAAGTCCCCAAATAGGAGTTCCATCACAGAAAGAGAAAGGAAAAGGGAAAGAGGGGGAGGGAATCAAGATGATTCAAAGGCAAAGGCCAGGCGGAACAAACAACTCTGTGTTACAGGCCCTGCAGAAAGAAATCAGATCTTGCAGGGCCCTGGTCTCATGAGGCAGAGCGTTCCACCAGGCCGGAGCCAGAGTTGAAAAGGCCCTGGCTCTGGTTGAGGCTAATCTGACTTCCTTAGGGCCTGGGACCTCTAGGGTGTTGCTATTTATGGACCTTAAGGTCCTCCGCAAGGCATACTGGGAGTATGCTTATTGTTATTAAGTTGATTTAAGTAGCTGTGAAAGGGAGGGGAGGTTTAAAAGTCCACCTGACAGCTCCCAGAGTCTTTTACTAATAAAAGCTGGCAGATATTTTCATAGGTTGAGCCTTTTTATCAGGGTAATTTGGTCATTAGAGCTCCTACTCACGCAGCAGAGACTCAGTTGAGACTTGAACCGGAGACAGACTATTTTCAGGTTGTGTACACACAACATCTTATTCTAGAATTGGTGGAGACTTAGTCCTTGTTTTTTCTACATAGTCCACAAACAATCTGCACATTTTTATCCCTGATAAGTGCTTCTTGAGAAACGGCTGCAATTCCAAAAACAAAAGCTCATTGGAGATTGATTATGTGTTACCCCCCAGTGTGTCCACCCAAAACCAGACGTAAATGGTCCCAGCCATGGGGCGTATGTTGGTGTGTGTATCCATAGCTGCTCAATGACATTGTGGGTGAGCATGCTTCAAGATCGCAGTCAGTACTTTCATCCTTCGTTCTGCTGGGGCATGTGAAGTAGCCACACTGGCCCTTGTCTTGTGCATGGTAGGATCTAGAATCAATCTGGATTGAAAGCAGCATGATGAGGATGAGCATAAACAATTCTAGATTGAGCAAAACTACATTTTTTTGTGCTATGCACAGCTGGGTGTGTACGCAGCCTCAAAGGGTGCCTCTCATTTGGCCGCATGCTGGGAAAATGTACATTCTCATATCCAGCTAGTGTAGTGCACATTCTGCTCCAGTCCTGGTCTTATTCTATCCTGTGTCTGTAATTTTCTGCCCTCGCTCTTCGATTCTTAGTTGAACGAGTCTCTGTGTGCTCCTTACCTTTCCAGGAACATGAGTTGCTGCTGAAAGAAGGATTTCAGAGGATGGCAAGGAAGATGGAGAGTGAAATCCAACATCTCAAGGATGAAAAGAAAAGCTGGGAATGGGTGTCGTCTCTAGTGGAAAATTTGATCCCAGTTGTGTCATCTTTGGTGATGCACAGTGTGCAGCTTGCAACAGTTTCTCAAACTGGGAGCACGCCAAAGAAATAGTTCCAGCATGGGGGGGTGGGGGGTGGGATTAATGCAGATTGCAAGGTTGCATTTGAATGTATTATTAGATGCATCTGCACAAATCAGGAAGCATGAGAGCTGTATCTATACACCTTTAAAGCACATTCAAACCATGTTCTTTCCCTCAAAGAATTCTGGGCACTGTAGTCACAGACAGTGGCGTAGCGTGGGTTGTCAGCACCCGGGGCAAGGCAAGTAATTTGCGCCCCCTAACCCGTGGATTTGCGCCCCCTAACCCGTGGATAACCCTAACCCCCCAGATGTTGCGCCCGGTGCGGCCGGACCCCCCTGCACCCCCCACGCTACGCCACTGGTCACAGAGTTAAAAATTCCCAACAATTCTAAACAAACTACAGTCCCCAGAATTCTTTGAGGGGGTAAATGTGCTTCCAATGTGCTTTAAAAGTGTAGTGTGTGTGCAGTGTTAGCCTTTTGTCCACTGACATTTACTTAGGATAAAGATTATGCAGAGAAATGTATTCTGGGTGGGTCTCCTAAGAGAAAGCCAGCTATTAGCTTGTGTGTGTGTTTTTTTGGAACATGGTTGTGAATGCCAAAATGTGAAGTAATGTTACATTTTTAACATATTAAGTCTGAGCTTCACTATACACAACTTGCAACCCCTGCTCTGGAGTTCCTTTGTGCAGAACTAAAAATAGGATAGGCTATTTCTGGAAAGAAAACAAGCCGGCCTTGCATTGCCCTCTAGTGGGCAGAGACCAGATGGTGATTGTCTACATCAAGTGTGTCTACTTAAATATCAAGGATCACACCTAAAGCCAATATTGTCTATAGTCAAAACACATTGGGTTCAATGGCGGGTGGGATTGCCAAAGTCATTTCCCTCCAAGCCCCACCCCCTTAAAAAAATAAAAATCCACACACATAAAGCTGAATGCACGCAAGTTAAGTGTGCATAAGTTGCGGTCTTGCTGTATTTGACTCAAGCAGCCTTCAACCAACCCAATCCCCTCCTGATGTTGTGGGACTACAACTCCCATCATCCATGACTATTGGCTATACCAGCTGGTGGGAGTTGTGGTTCGCAACATCTGGACGGCACCATCTCTGGGAAGGTTGGTTTAGGAGCATCTACAATGCTTACCACCTTGACCTAGTGCATTGTTGTTAAATTTGATACCTTCTTTCTCCCTTCCTCATCTTCTGCAGCCAGGCACAACTTAAATTGATTCCCTTCTAGAATCTGTTGTGCGCAAGAAATCAGCTCTGAAATATATGCAGTAGCAGAACATGCTTAGAGCCAATTTCCCTCTGTGCCACATAACAACAACCTGCTGCATGTATCCAGGGTTCAGTCTTTGCCCCTGTGGTGGGTGGATGTGCTGGAATTGCAGCCTGCAGTGCTGATGAGCTGGGTTTGTCCGCACGAGAGTAAAATGTGAATTTGCACCGGCCTTTCTCTCCAATAAGGGACACGGGTGGCACTGTGGGTTAAACCACAGAGCCTAGGACTTGCCGATCAGAAGGTCAGTGGTTAGAATCCCCACGATGGGGTGAGCTCCCGTTGCTCGGTCCCTGCTCCTGCCAACCTAGCAGTTCAAAAGCACGTCAAAGTGCAAGTAGATAAATAGGTACCACTCTGGCGGGAAGGTAAACAGTGTTTCCGTGCGCTGCTCTGGTTCGCCAGAAGCGGCTTAGTCATGCTGGCCACATGACCCAGAAGCTGTATGCCGGCTCCCTCGGCCTATAGAGCAAGATGAGCACCGCAACCCCAGAGTCGGCCACGACTGGACCTAATGGTCAGGGGTCCCTTTACCTTTACCTTTTCTCTCCAGTAACATAGGATTTCCCACATGACATCTTCCTCATCCCAGTGTTGCCCTGGATCTTTCCCCTTTTAAAGATGGGTGGTTTTTAAAAAAATCATTGGAAAGTCCAAAAAGGCTAGGATTGAAAACCTCCACATTTAAAATGGGGAAGGTTTGGGGCGACACTGGGATGAGGTCCACATTTTGCCCTGGGGTGGACAAGCCCCCTTCTCAAAAGAGGGGGAGCATCTGTGTGATTACTGGTTGCTACCAGAGGTTTGCGGGGTGTGGGTCGGGCGGGGAGAGGCAGCTTGTGCTGGTTGCTACATGCCTCTTTAAATATGCATTGAGACTGTTCCTACCTAGTGCAGCAGTGGCAGCTGGAACTTGTACCGTATATGCACATTAATATGTACATGCCAAATTACATAACGCATTCCTTTTTTAAAAAAAAAATTCAAAGTTTCAAAAAGAAAAAACAATTTTAACACACACACACACACACACACACACACACGTTTACATTAAACCATAGTCTATGTCAGTACTTTTATGGGGTTCCCCGAACCCCCGGACTTCCCTCTACCCCTCCCTTGGCTTCCAAAATTTATCTTCCTTTTTTAACTGCATCTAAATGCATTTATTTTTGAATTATGGTGTTGGAGGAGACTCTTGAGAGTCCCATGGACTGCAAGAAGATCAAACCGATCCATTCTTAAGGAAATCAGCCCTGAGTGCTCACTGGAAGGACAGATCCTGAAGCTGAGGCTCCAATACTTTGGCCACCTCATGAGAAGAGAAGACTCCCTGGAACAGACCCTGATGTTGTGAAAGATGGAGAGCACAAGGAGAAGAGGACGACAGAGGACGAGATGGTTGGATAGTGTTCTCGAAGCTACCAGCATGAGTTTGACCAAACTGTGGGAGGCAGTGGAAGATAGGAGTGCCTGGCGTGCTCTGGTCCATGGGGTCATGAAGAGTCAGACACGACTAAACGACTAAACAACAACAAAATACATTTATCCAAAGTATTATACTTCATTTTTATCCTTTGTTGTTCTAAATCACAAGTGCTATGTCTATGCTGCTAAGGTTTTTAGGTTTTTACAGTGTTCTTTAATATAGTTTATAAAGTTATGCCATTCTCTCTTACAGTGAGGGGGGGGGAAGTATTTGATCCCCTGCTAAATTTGCCCATTTGCCGTCTGACGAAGAAAGGACTAGTCCATAATTTTAATGGTAGTTTTATTGTAGCTGTGAAAGACAGAATAGCAACAGGAAAAACCCCCAGAAACCCAGAAGACAAAAGTCAGAGATTGATGTGCATTATAATGAGTGAAATAAGTATTTGATCCCTTTGCAAATTTAGCAGGGGATCAAATACTTTTTCTTGTCACTGTAAATTTGTTACCCTCTTGGTGCCTGATCTTCCCTGTGAGCCTTGCTATCTCCGCATAGTCCATCATCTTCATTATCCGTTCTTCTTTCCATGGAGCTCTTTCTTCTTTCCATCCCCGGACAAATAGCATTCTTGCTGCTGTTGTTGCATACATAGACAGCACTTTCTTATCCTTTGGTAACTCTTCTCATATTATACCTAGTAAAAAGGCCTCTGGTTTTTTTAACAAAAGTTATTTTAAACATTTTTTCCAGTTCATTATAAATCATTTCCCAGAAGGCCTTAGCTATTTTACAGGTCCACCACATATGATGAAATGTACCAACATATGTTGGTCAAGTTCTTATACATTTTCACTAGTCTTGTACGAGTCAAATACCATCCGTACATCATTTTCATATAATTCTCTTTTAACGTACAGCAGGCTATAAATTTTAACTCCTCATTCCATAACTTCTCCCATGAAGCAAATTGTATATTATATTATATCCCACATCTTTTGCCCAGCGTATCATTGCATATTTTATTTCCTCATCTTTTGTTTCCCATTCCAGCAACAATTTATACATTTTTGACAGAACTCTTTCATTATTTTCCAACAATTCTTTCTGCAATATCAAAAATTATTTACCAAAACTGACTCCAACCTGAAAATGTCATTTAATTGATGATATTGGAGCCAATCAGTTAACAGATGTCTTATGGCTTCAAACTTTTTTTGCTTTCAATTGATTTTCCTCCTCAGTTAGCAACTCTCTATACTTTACCCATTCTTTTTCCATACTTATTTTTTTTAACTGACAGTGCTTCTAATGGTGATAGCCACCATGGGATTTAATTCTCTAATAAATTCTTATATTTTTCCCAACCAGCATAAATTGATTTTCTAATAATATGGTTTAGAAATCCCCTATGAACTTTCGATTTTCCTTACCACAAATATGCATGCCATTCAAATCTATTGTCATAGCCTTCCAGATCTAAGATATCTGGGTTCCTCAGTGTCATCCATTCTTGTAGCCAGCAAAGACATAATATAATTTTAAATCCAGTAGGGTGAATCCACCTCTTTCTTTAACATCTGTTAATAACTTATACTTAATCCTAGATTTCTTCCCCTGCCAAATAAACTTAGATATATCTCTTTGCCATTGTTTGAAGTGTCTTGTTCTGTTGACTATTGGTATAGATTGAAATAAAAACAACATTCTTGGCAATACATTTATTTTTATTACTGAGATTCTTTCCCATAATGATAATTTAATTGTTCCCCATATTTTCCATATTTCTCTTAATATCATTCCAAACTTTTATATAGTTGTCTTTAAAAATGTTTATATTATTTGTTGTCATCCATACCCCTAAATATTTCACCTTCTTTTCTATACCCAGCTCTGTTATCTGTCTCAGTTTGTTTTTCTCCTGTTCTGTCATTTTTTTTTTTACCAACAACTTAGTTTTATTTTTATTCAGTTTGAAACCTGCGACTTGGCCAAATTGGTTAATCTTATCCAACACCCTTGGTATACTTTCCAAGGGGTTTTCTGCCATTATTGCCAGGTGATCCGCAACACAAAACACATTCCATTTAAGTAGAATTCATTCCTCAAGAGCATTTGGAATATTGAAACAAGCACAGAGTATGGTAGCTTGCTTGTTAGCAGGAACAAACTGTTACCTGTCTTACCTGTTTTGAGTCATCTGCCTGGACTGAGAATTTGCTTCTAGACCTGGTTCTTGCTTTAGGGGCTCTGATTTTCTTTAGCATTGCCACCTCCCATGTGAGCCTCCCCAGCATTTAATATATTTTGATGGGGCCTGGGTTG